CCTAACTTGATTGCCATCCAAATATTCAGAGTTGCTGTTATGTCGATAACTAATAAGTATAATATTATCACGGTGCAGTGTTCAATGTGTACTCTGGGTAATGAAATCCAGAATACTGAGCCCTCAACCCACATAGATAAATTCCATATTCCCCAACTCATTGTTGTGTCTTCACAAAACTAGGTTCAAGTGGTATCTCGTTAGTATAAATTTGCTGTAATAAGCAGTATATTGCGCTATTGGTATGGCAGAAATATTACTATAGTAATGAGCCCGGTCTTTGCTGTATTTCCCAAGAGACACTGCGTTTGTAGTGAAAAATCTGTTTAGCCTAATAAATGGTAACAGTAATCACCTTCCCTTTCTTCCTCCAGATATCTCTTTTTTAAAAATATACATTTTTTTATTGATTTCAGAGAGGAAGGGAGAGGGAGAGAGAGGTAGAAACATTGGGGATGAGAGAGAATCACTGATTGGCTGCCTCCTGCACGCCCCCCACTGGGGATGGAGCCCACAACCCAGGCATGTGCCCTGACCGGGAATCAAACCGTGACCTCCTGGTTCATAGGTCGACGCTCTACCACTGAGCCACGCCGGCCGGGCCCAGGTACCTCTTAGATATGTAACCGTTAATACACTGAATGGTCCAGCACTAAGTTCACAAACAACATCCATTTGGAAACCTTTGATTTCCCTTGTCGAATTTTTTGTGTTCTTTCCGACTGAAACATTTGTCTTCGTCTGCTTCTGGTGCTCTGAGCTCTTTCTCCTTGATCCTCAGATTCTTGGTGTTTTCTGTTTGTTTGGTTTTGGTGTGACTCACTGGGGCCCAGGAATGTACGTGGCCTTGCGCCTGCATCGGGGGTTCCGTGGAGCTTGACTGCTCGCCCTGAGAGCGGACACGGGGGAGGTTTCCAGGCTGCTGTCTTGGTAACAAAGACCAGAGCGTCCCTGCACTGGGCACTGCTTGCTGGCCCTCGAGTCCCCCTCCACGCTGGGGCCGTAAGTTAGAGAAATCAGAGTTCAGTTCTCTGGAAGTTTATGTTATTCTTATGTTATCCGTTGTTATTCTTAAAGTCAACAGTCATTTGCAAAGACACTTAATTCTGGGGCAGATTAGGGGGAAAATAGCTTGAATATTTTTGGAAATGACGGTGGCTCTCGGAAATTAGGAGATTGCCTTTTTATGAAGTTGTATTTTTCGGTTCTTTAGGGAACTGATGGAAAAGGAATAACCTACATTTATTGTGCACTTACCACGTGCCTGTCATGCTTTATGTGTGTTTCCATCTCTCTTACATTTCACAATAGAGAAAACAGACCAATAGGACTCTCTCTCTCTCTCTCTCTCTCTCTCTCTCTCTCTCACACACACACACACACACACACACACACACACACACACACTCATAAGGAATTGGCTCATGCATTTATAGACGCTGAGAAGTCCAAGATCTACTGTTGGCAGCTGGAGAGACCCAGGAGAGCCGATGGTGTAAGTTCCAGTCCGAGTCAAGGGAAGACGGATGTCCCAGCTTGAAGCCAGGCAGGCAGAGAGAGTGTATTCTCCCTTCCCCAGCCTCTATTCTGTGCAGGCCCTCAACGGATTAGCTGCGGCCCACCACATGCAGGAGGGCAATCTGCTTTACCCAGTCAACCACTCACATGTTAATCTCACCCAGAATGACCCTCACAGACACCCCGGGAATACTGTTGGGTCAAATATCTGGGCATCCCATGGCCAGCCAAGTTGACACAGGAAATGAACCATCACAAAGACCCGCTCTTGTCTATAAGTGCTGCGCTCCATGGCATTCAGGAGCAAGTGCTAGGGGACGCCACTTCTGAGGACATTAAAATGGAACGGTCCATCCTCCATCTGACCCCCAAAACATACATGTTGGAAATCACCCCATGAACCCCTCTCCCTTCTCCAGGCTGTGGCTACTTGGATCCAAAGCAGTCACAGAATTTGAAGAATGGGAGGGAGACGGCTCGATTTCAGGACTGCAGGATCCTAGGATAAGATTGTTCAGTGGGCAGCAGGCATGTTACTCTCCGCTCCTCTTCCCCAGCCCCGAGGCCAGCCCGCCTCCTTAGTGGACACGTTATCTGATGGGGCCGCCCATCAACATTACAGAAAGACACCAGGAGGACAGCTCCACAGAAAAAAAATGGCCCAGGCTGGGACCCGATCCGCTTGGGGGCAATTTGCAAAGTGGAATCGAAGCTCGCTCAAGCCCCAGAAAATTACTATCTTGCTCGATGGGATTAGTTGTCCAAAATGAAGAATATTTTTCTCCTTGTGCCGCCCCACCTTCCAATTGCTTTCTTTTCACTGCTTGTTCTCATTCCCCTCTTCGCCAACGGCTAGACCCCGCGGCCAGCAGCACCCTGATCATCAGCACAGGCCCGGGCAGGGACACAGAGTCAGGGGGTAACTATGGTTACGTGAAAGCAGAGACTGGGCGGGGATGTCCTTTTAAAGGGGCAGGGATATGTAAAGGAAGAGTATGAATTGGATTCATGAGGAAGCTCTGCTGTTCTCACATCCTGATCTTCATCATTTATTTATTAGGGCAGGGGTCATTTTTCTGATAGATCCGAGGCCGGATCTTATCTTCACCTCTCCCTTGACTTATCTGTTCTTCTCTGAGAGAGAACAGTTTTGTGGCCCAGGGTGGTGAGGGTCTGTGCCCAGGACTCGGCAGTCAGCATGGCTCATGTGTTCACAGGCGGTGACTGGTCAGAAAGCACGTGTTGGGGCAGGAGGAGGTGGACACAGATGTCTCAGCCAAATCCCTGGCATACACCCACCTCTGGCCCCACATTGGAGAGGGAGGAGGAGGGCTGGGGTGTCTGGGTATGTGGACTGGAAGAAGGTTGTAAAAATGTGAAGAGAGCAGTCCATTCAGGTTAAGAGAAGAGAAGGTGTCTGTACCTTGGGGGAGGGGACATATCACACCTCCCTTGTCCCTGGAATACATAGGCTTTAGAGGCTATCAAAGCGATAGGGGAGGGGGAGGGGAGGGACGTTTGCCTGATGAGTCCAGCAGAGGAGATGTTGTGTGGCTTCATCCATCCACCCATCTATCCTCCATCCATCCATCCATCATCAGTCTACCCAACTATCCTCCATCCATCCATCCATCCATCCATCCATCATCCACCCACCCACCTATCCTCCATCTACACATCCATTTATCCATCTATCCTTTATTCATCCATCCATCTATCCATCACCCATTGATCCATCCACCCATCCACCCATCATCCACCCAACCACCTATCCTCCATCTACCCATCCATTTATTCATCTATCCTTTATTCATTCATCCATCTATCCATCACCCACTGATCCATCCACCCATCCTCTTTCCTTCCATCCACCCACTTATTCTTTATCCTCTTTCCCTCCCTCCACTCATCCATTCATTCCTCTTTTATTAGCAGCACTGGTGGGATGTCCACACTCACAACACACCATGCTAGGTGCCGAGGAGGTGAAGAATAAGAGCTGGGCTCCCCCTCCCAGATTCACAGCCCAGTGAGGGAGACAGCTGAGTAGACCAGCGTTGACAATCAGGATGGGGAGCACCCTAAGGGGGGTGAGCCCTGGGTTAGTGTCTATTTTTGGTACCTATTCCATGAGGATGTGTCCATTGGTTGTGTAAGAACTAAGAGGTGAGCTACCTTCCTTCCCTTGGACAGGGCATTCAGATCTTATGCACACGGAGGACCCTTCCTCATGCCTGGCTTCCCCTCCAGCCCAGGACAGCCTTCATCTCAGCCACCTGGGCATCTCCCTCACCCCGACCTCCAGTCAGGTGACCTGAAACGGAAATGCCTTGTACCCTGGTGCCCTCCTTGCCTCTCCAGCACCCTCATGCCCTCTCAGGCTCATCGCCTCTTCCCCACCCCACCAGTCGGCCTCCCGGGCCTACGGGCCTGCCCCCTGGCTCCACACTGGCCTCCTCGCTTAGCCTGGCTTCTTGGGATCACCCAGTAGGTCTCCAGCTTCCTTTTCCAACTCCGTTTATTCATTCAGCAGACGCTGATGGAGCGCTTCCTCTGTAGGATGTTGTGAGAGATTCTGGATGCCAAGATGGGAAGGTCGCAGGACCTGTCCTTGAAGGGCTCACAGCCCGGTACGAGAGGCGGTCCTTCTCCAACTACAGTGGGGCCTTGACTTACGAGTTTAATTTGTTCCGAGACCGAGCTCGTTAAGGAGCTCGTTAACTCAAATTACTCTATCAACTCAATGCAAAAAATCGGCCAAGAGACAGCTGGTATCTCAAAACACTCGTTAGTCGAGACACTCGTAAGTCAAGGCCCCACTGTAGTTCAATGCAGGACTGTGTTCACGGCACAGCGGTGGGACACTGGGGGGCTGAGCGGGGGGGCGGGGGGCGTGGGGTTCAGGAAGGCCTCCTAGACCTTCAAGGAGGACCTTGACCGAGGCCTGGCAGACGGGGGTGAGAGACAGGGGCAGGGGCAGGGGTGAGGTTGGCATTCCCAGCATGCCCCTTCCACACACCCGTATAGCGATGGAGCCCACTTTCTGCTCCCCAAGCATGGGCTACTGTCTTGAGCGCAGGCCCTCGCTCATGCCATTCCCGTTAGAACGCTGGCCAGGCCTCCCTCCAGAGCTGGCTCTGCCTGTAGAAATCTTACCCGCCCTTCGAGGACAATCTGTCTCCTCGCTCAACCGTCAGCATTTCGTCCAGCTGTTGAGGCAGTTCCTTTTGTGGCTTATGCGTTCTCATCTCCCTCCTTGAAAAGCGACCTTGGCCATGGAACTGAAATGCTAATGAGCGCCGTTCTAAGCGAGGAGCGAAGAGCAGGGTGAGATGTGCACTAGAGTGCCTACGTTCCTGGCTCTCTGGTTGGTGTGGTTGGGTGGGCCATGGTGTCGGGGAGAACACAGTAGCTGCCACTTAGCTGGGAAGACCCTCGGTGCTGGAATGTGTTCGGACACCTTTTCTTCTCTGTCCATGTAGGGTTCGATGACCTCCAGGTGTGTGCTGACCCCGGCGTCCCCGAGAATGGCTTCAGGACGCCCAGCGGAGGGGTTTTCTTCGAAGGCTCCGTCTCCCGCTATCATTGCCAAGACGGATTCAAGCTGAAGGGCTCTACGAAGAGATTGTGTGTGAAGCATCTCAATGGGACCCTGGGATGGATCCCGAGCGATAGATCCATCTGTGTACAAGAAGGTAAAGTGCTTACACCCGCGCCCCCTCCTCCCATGGAAACCTCTCACGTGGTCAGTGTCTGCGTTGTGGCCAGCTTGCGTTGCCATGGCTGCAGGGGTCCAAGGCTGCGGGTGCCAGAGGGGTCAGTGCTGGGGATGCTGTCCTCGTTTCCGAGCTAGTCCTGCACGCTGATGGAAAAGCACGCGTGTGTGATGAGGGCTGGGGCACATCCATTCATCTCAGCGTTAGAAGTAATCATCTCCCCTCTCGATCTCAATGACCATCCAATTCATCACCGTTGTCGATGCAGGAGAGAAGCTCAGATCACATTAGGGCTGTTTATGACGGGGCTGCCAACTCCACACTCATTTCCATGTTACTCCATAAAAAGCGCAATAGATTATTGGGGCAAAGACTATATGTAATGATACAGACAATGTCTGATTCAGAGGATTAAATCAATTACTACTTATCAGTTCTCTGTTAGACGTGATTCATTGAAGGAAAGAAACAATTGTGACGAGCAATGACAGGTTGACAAGGGAGACATTTATTCTAGCAACCACCCCTCAATTTATTGGTCATGATAAGATATTCTCCCCCCCCCTTTTTTTTAAAAAATATATTTTTTATTGACTTCAGAGAGGAAGGGAGAGGGAGAGATAGAAACATCAATGATGAGAGAGAATCATTGATTGGTTGCCTCCTGCACGCCCCCTACTGGGGATCGAGCTGGAAAGGAGCTGAGCCACACCAGCTAACTCTTAGCAGTTAGCTCCAGTGTTTGCTTAGGGGCTGTGTAAGGGGCGGGTGGCTGTGTTGGGTCTGTCCTTTTACTTATGCGAAGTGAAATAAGGCCATGTGTTTCCAAAGGACCTGCATTCTGGTCCAAATGGTAAGCTCTCATTGTATTTTTAAAAAAATATATATTTTATTGATTTTTTACAGAGAGGAAGGGAGAGGGATAGAGAGTTA